TTCACTTCATCAAATTTGTTTTTCAGAAGATATTGAAGTCTATGAAGTCGCATGAGGACTTGCTGATTCAATTAAGTGCTTCTGATGTCTTGGTCAATCAACTGCACTCTAAAAACGAATTCAGGCGACCTTTCACCTCCACTTAATTAAATGCATGGTTGCAAGATAAAATGTGAGTTAATTGATTCAGATAAACATTTTAAGTTGCAAACATTAATTTATAAGTTGTGTTGACGTAATAATGTTGGTAATTACATCAACTTAATATTGTGTGTAATTTGAACTCTGATTTCTGCATTAATTGACTTAAAACAAAATTCAAGTTTTAGTAAGTAATGCAATTGGCTTGATAACTTAATTGTTCTACACCTTGAGTTAAGGATTTCAAGTCCACTCCCACTTAACATTCTTGGACAAGTTCCGACAGTTAAGACAAATAGAAATATACAAAGGACATTTTAAGGTGAGTGTCATCTTTTGTCATTCAAATACAGTAGATAGCCTTGTAGTTGTACTGTATAGGCAAATTGCTGTTTGACCAAAATAAGCAGCCTTTGAACTGTGAATAGTTCTGTGAGAGGATACAAAGTAGTAGAGGCTACTGTGAGAGTAAAAATACTTTGGTTACAATTGTGATATCGCTTTTTATTAAAAATGAATCTCGGTGAAGCAGATCAAGGACATGCTTCTTGAGGTAGGATCGTTATTTAGAGTTGTCATTGAAATGCAAGTTGTTGGCAGTCACCCATTCAGAATATATTCATTTAGGTAATTTCTCTTTTTTTCCTTTTTCAAAAATAGCACAATACAATTGAAGTATGCAGAGAACTATAGCCATCCACTGCCTTGTCGTGTACCTTGGAGAAAAGGAAGGGGACCTTTTCAAGGAGTTTAGCGACGTAATAAAAAATCTTGAAATTAAATAAAATCCATGGGCACAGTGGACACAGGACAAAAGCACTGCTCTCTCAGTTACATTTTGAAGCATATTGCACTTTTGGCCACACCCCGATCAATAATATCTTAGCAACGTTCAGCATGGATTGGTGTTGACAGCAATGGCATGGGAAAAGGATTGTGTAACATTTGAAAAGTGGCTTCTGCTCTTCACTTAACCAGTTCAAATATTGTATGGAACCTGCAAAAAAGATGAGAAGGTACACTAAAACGTATCTACTAAATCTGTCCACATGCATTTAAACACTAGGCAAATGACTCAAAAGCACCTCTGTGTGTCTTCAGGACCACATTGCCATGACGACACACACATGCAGACTCAATAGGTGAAAACAATACCAGTGTTGCTTTAGCAGCTGGTAATAATGGCTCTGAATTCGCTAAGAGTGACAGTTTAAAAAGTATACTGTAAAAAAAGTCCGTGAAATTAACAGGGAAAAGCTGTAAAATCACGACATCAAAAAACTTTAAATAGAGAAACAATGAAGCAGTGTTTAATTTACAGTAATATTTCGTAAAGTACTGAACCAAACAAAACTGTTAAATTCACATTAAGAATTATGTTAAAATAATGATATTTCATTGTATAATTTACAGATTACTGTGGTTTGAACACAGAAAAACTGTAATACATAAAACAATACAATACAGTTAAAATTACAACATGACAGTGTTAAAATCATGTTTTTTATATATATTTTCATTCTTGATTATACTATAATATACTTACTTGTTATTTCTATTTGTTTAATACATATGTTTATTTTGAAATTGGAAATAACCCAGTACTGAGATATTCTTGGAAATTATATGAGAATCCATAAAACAGCTGGCGTTTGGATTCTGGGGCCGCCTGGCTATTTGGAGTGGAATGCAGCCCACGGCAGACAGCCCAAACTACGTGTGGACCTATGGTGTGGACGGGCCGTTACGTTCTTGTATTTTTTGGGACAAGCCTCTCGGCGGAAGTGACGCAAGCGGTCAACGAACGCAGCCTCCGAAGGAAACAGCCGCTGAACTGAGACACGCCTACTGAGCAGTAGAGTTTGTTTCTGTTATTTCATTGGACTATTTAATTATCGCTGGAGCAGCCACTTTTTGCAGGTTAACGGCTCGGTGCGCGGCCAAGTCTATCTCAAGTCTGCCTGCCACGGACCACGAGCTGTGTGCACATGAGCGGAGGATCACATCTGTAGCACTGGTAAGCTAACCGTTTATTTTCTTCAAACTTCAATTATAACACGGTGTGTTGCCAGGACAATACTAGCTTCTGTTTGTGATTTATTGCATTTTGCAGTCATAGTTATAACGTCTACTGAATTTAAATAGTCTGGTAACGTTATTGAAGTATCATGCTAAAAGCTGAACTCTTTATTTTCGTTTAATTCATACTGTTGTGCAGTGGCGTAGCCAGGAATTATTGTGTGGGTGGGCCTGGAGAAATGTAGGTGGGCCAGGGGGAGACATATTAAGCGTGGGGTCTGAGCTGAAACTTCATTAATGATTTTATTGATTTTTTAATGCACTAATAGAACATAAGCATAAATTAGCAGTGAAAGCAAAAAAATAGGCACGGCGGCCTCAGAATGTGTGTAAAACTGACATCCACATAGGGTACACAACGGTACTACTACTTTTATCGATAGCGCTTATGCTTATGCTCCAGGTTCAGTATCAACCACATCATAAAGTACGCGGACGATACAACAGTGGTGGGACTCATCAGGGACAACAACGAACAGGCCTACAGGGAGGAGGTGAAACATCTGACAGACTGGTGTAACACCAACAACCTGATCCTGAATGTCGATAAAACAAAAGAGATCATTGTCGACTTCAGGAACAAAAAGCACTGTCACCCACCACTCCACATCAACGGCACAGCAGTGAAGACTACAGAGAGCACCAAGTTCCTAGGGCTGCATATCAGAAGCAGTCTGACCTGGTCCACTCACACTACATCACTATGTAAGAAGGCACAGCAGCGCCTACACTTCCTGCACAGCTCCCCCCCTCCCATCCTCACCACGTTCTACAGAGGAACCATAGAGAGCGTGCTGACCAGCGGCATCTCCATCTGGTCGAGAGACTGCAACGCCAAAGACTGGAAGTCTCTGCAGAGAGTGGTCAGGACAGCAGAGCAGATCATCGGAGTTTCTCTCCCTCCCATCAGAGACTCAGAAACGCTCCCTGACAAAAGCCCAGAACATGTTGAAAGACCCCACTCATCCTCACCATGCTCTGTTCTCCCTGCTGCCCTCCGGCAAGAGGTTCCGCAGCATTAAGAGCAGAACAGTCAGATTCTGCAATAGCTTTTTCCCCATGCCATCAGACTGCTGAACAGCAAGTAGACCAGTAACATAAAGATTACATTACGCTGTATAAAGAGCACATATTTGTTATATAGTATGTCTATTTTATTTATATGTATAGTAAGTCTTTATATTTTAAACGCACACTTTATCTTTAATTTTATCAGCACCACATCACTATTATTTATTTATATGTACAATTTTAGCAAGTTTTTATATTGTCCTGTTCCTGTAAGCCAGTACAACGAAATTTCGTTTTAATAGTACACTCTGTGTCTTGTTGAAATGACAATAAAGTATGTCTATGTCTATGTCTTATCGATCCGGTCCTTTAACATTACTTTTATCGGTTCTTTTGGAGAAAAAAATAAGGTAAACTAACTAAACAAATTGTGAACAAAACTAACATTGCTTTTTATTTCAATTAAATACATAATATTTCACATCAAAAGAAACAACAGTGTTTTAACAAATCGTATTAAATCATCTGATGACAGAACTGTAAACAGAATAGCTGAAACTTTAACAAAATAAATATCTCAGTTTCCTCTAATCATTAACCCATGTTTGTATCATGTAGTTAACTCGGTGTGTTGCTGCTAGCATACATAACACCTGACGTGGAAACGTTACTCGTGGATGGGGCTACAGAGCTGCTAGAAAGACAGTCGAACCCGGTGCATTCCTCCGTCTGAATGTGGAGCACTTTTGCTAAATGTTTAGACAAATTGCTCGTATTACCGCCCTCACATGCTAAACTCTTATTGCACTTTTGGCAACGAGCATTGTCCACATTGACACGGCTATAGTTTAACCAAACCTCGGAGCGCGTTCTCTCCGCCATCTCCTCCGTGTGTGTGTGTTGCTGCATGTAGCAGCTGCGTGTGTGTAAACTGCCCCGCCCCCTCGCACACAGACGTGGGAGAGAGATCTCTCGACTGGATTGGAAATATCTAAAATACTAAAAATAATCAGACGCATTTTGCTGTCTTTTTGCATATTAGAAACTTAAACTTAAACTGCAATGTAATGTTTGTGTAGCAATAATACATACGACATATATCGGGGGCCACAGGTTGTTTATCCTTGACAGTCGCACAGTGGGCACACACTGAGTGTTTTCATATTCAGCAAATGTGTACACGCTAAACTGCAGACCTCAAGAAGAAATAATACTTTCATTCACTCACGGCAAAAGTTACTTTACTTACTATAAAAACTCACGGTAAAAAAATGCACTCCCTATTCCATTGTCATGAAGGTGGAATCTAACTATATCCAGAATACGTTTTATTGGATCCAGGCTAGACACATGTTTATTTCTGCTGTAAAGTTGGGCATTTTAACATGGGGGTCTATGGGAATTGCTCCTTTTTGCATCCATCCCCTGTCGGCCACTAGATGAACTGCAGTTTGTGGCACTTCCTTCTGGGCTTCCCGGCTCTGCGCTACGAAGCGCTGATTGGCTGTGGGTGGGCCAGACGTGCATGTGGGTGGGCCCAGGCCCACCCGGGCCCACCCACAGCTACGCCACTGCTGGCCAGGCAGAGCGCACTAGGTTTTTTTTCTGAATTAACGACCGAAGAAATCGCTGCATGTCTTCGGATTACATCTCTGGACTTGAGGGGTGTGCTTTAGGTCGTTACCAGCGTAAACTAGAGCTGTGTGGGTTGTCCGATTGCCCTTAAAGACTGCCTGCAGATGTATGGAAAAACGACTCTCGAAAGTGGCCTTCGGTCGATTTTGGCAGCATCTACGTCTATCTTCTAGAAACACCAGGTGAATACCCCACTTGTCACAATAATATTATCATGCCAATGCATATATGTGGTATTTTAGAGTTGACTAGATATTGATTAAGGCAATAGACTATGATATTCTGCTTGCACCTCGTGTGAAATGGTGGATACCGGAAGTACGGTGTCGCCCTCGGCCCAAAACCCGTATGTGTGTGTGAAAGAATAGGATCCCCAGTGTTTTTCAAATGTGTTGGCGCGAACTGCAAGCAAACAACGGTGTGTTGCCAGGACAATACTAGCTTCTGTTTGTGATTGAGTGCATTTTGCAGTCATAGTTATAACGTCTACTGAGCGGGGGGTTTGAAGCTACATCTGAGCGGGTTCAAACTTAACGGGCAGTCGTGTTAACGTCAACGCCGTCAACGTTAATGCCAGCCTAAGGCACACCTGTGCAATAATCATGCTGTCTAATCAGCATCTTGATATGCCACACCTGTGAGGTGGGATGGATTATCTCGGCAAAGGAGAAGTGCTCACTATCACAGATTTTTTCAGATTTGTGAACAATATTTGAGAGAAATGGTTATTTTGTGGATATAGAAAATGTTTTAGATCTTTGAGTTCATCTCATGAAAAATGGGAGCAAAAACAAAAGTGTTGCATTTATATTTTTGTTCTGTGTATGTCCACAGCAGTGCATTGCTTGGCTGTCTGCTGGTTCTCCTCTCTGTTTCTCCAAACTGTAGCTCCTACAACCCCCTTCAAACAATATGAACTACCCCCTAAAAGCAAGTCAAATTGACATTACATTCATCTCCCCTTAACCTGCAAATACACATACATACATTTTTGTATTGATGGTGAGCAATTTAACAGACCTTAAAATGTAATAACATGTGTGCTAAAATTGTTTTGTGAAATGTTTCAGGAAGACAAGTCTTGTTTTAATTTAGTTTGAATTCATGGCAATTCATGCTGAGTGTGGATCGAAACATAGTACAGGACAACATCCCCTCCTTGGTTTCTGCCCTGTCCATGATGTTTGGGAGCTATTACTGCTTCAACATCGCCTACCCGTCAGAGCTGGCATCCACCCTGGAGTTTGTCCAGAGGTATGTGTTTTTTGGGATTGGCTTTATCCAACAATTTATTTTATTAAACTGCAACAAATCTAAAGCAGCTGCTTCAGTGAATTGGGGGTTAAGATAATTGTGATTTTGGCTTCAAAATAATAAGATTGATGTGAAGTTTTTTGTTGTTAGGCAAGCTATTTTATTATTAATTCTGTTGTTTGTTTGTATTTTTATTTTAAGGTGTTTTTTCTCCATCAACCCAGAGAAGGGTACCAAAGTGGAGAAGACATGCGCATCCCGTCTTCAGGTGAACCCGAGAGTCCTCACCTTGATACAGGAACTTTCGGACCATGAGTGGCGTGATGTCTGAATATTAGTTACAGTCTGTTTGATTGTTTAAATCATAGTTAACATTGGGAAGTGCCTTTTTTTTATGTTCTTTTAACTCATTTAAAAAAATGCAATATGTAACTCTCAAAATGTCAAACTATTCTTTTAAGGTCATTGTAGCCACTCTTGCGGTTTGCTGTTACAAAGTGAAGTTGCTTAAACAATCTTCATTTGGCTTATGTGGATGTAAAAGCTCAGGACATTACTGTTGAGTGTAAAAATGTTGACGTGTTTTGTTTTCCACTTGGGTTTTTGCTTCTGAAGTGAAGGGTCTCTGCTGACCCTACCTCTTCACCTATCTCACTTAGACACACACTCACATGTGTTTTGCAACTGTAGCTTCATCACGTACACACTTCCTTTAGCAATGAACATGTATTCAACTAAGACAATCCCTTATTTTGGCTAAGTTACAGCTCAGTCTGTGGCTGTGACAGTCGAGTATTATATTATACAGGTGCCCACTATAAGAGATGAGACATATAAAGTACTAAAATATTTAAAAACATTATTTCCCATAAATCATTTGATGTGATGTAAGTAACCTCTCAACTTTGTTCAGCTTGAATTTCCTGGACAATGTGAGCTGTTTGTTTATTGTGCAGCCTTAGTTTGTATGTTTTACCAATATGTATGTTGAGAAATGACAGATGTTTTTGAACACTGCTATTATATATATATAATAAATTCTTGGAAAGGCAA